ACATCTCGCGGGGGGAATTCAAAATTCAAAATTCAATATTCAAAATTCAAAACTCAAAACTCAAAATTCAACAATAAAATAAAATAAAAACGAAAGAAAGCTGCTAAATTGAGTAAATTAAACAAACAACAGGAAAAACCTACCACTCCGTAAGCCCAGAAGCCAAAATAATAAACGAGAATCCAGCCTTGCTCCGCCAGCCGGACAGAGGCTTTGTGTTTCAAGCCGTATCTGCGGGCAAGGGGCTGGAAGATCCATTCGATGGCAATCGCTCGGACGGCGGTGAAAGCGAGAACGGCCCCCATAACAAAATAGATATCATCCCAGCCCTGGACATATGTACCCTTCTCAGGCTGGTAGTGCGGCAATTGCAGAAATGGGGAGGTGTACGGCCTCAGCGACGGGTAGAGGTTGTGAAGGGCGAATATCATTGTGAGGATAGTGACGCAGATACCTATAAAAAACATTGCATCGGTACTTTTAGTGATGGGATATTGGGCGGGACAAAGATTGAGGAACATTTGTATATATTGTACCTATCTGGTTCTGCAGCACCCATTGTCGAAAATTGGTCTCCGGCGTTGGCTTCACCTTCGTCATCCGCCGGCCTTCAATGGTAGAAACACAGGCATTGACTTCAGAGACTGAATTGGGCTGGCTGGAGTAAGCTCTCGCCATTGTAAAGAGAGAGCAGCCCTGGCGTTAACCGCCAAGCTACAGGGAGCGAACTGTTCAAGCGGGAGATATGGCGCGCGAGCAGCTTCGGTATAGCTTCTGTTTTGTGTTGGTTTTGGGTCGGGAAAGGGAAACGACCGAATTGGAGATACGGCGCCAATTGGTCACTGACGCGGTGATCTGGAGCTATAGAGGTCGCCTAGAGGGTATAGAAATAGGGAGGAGGCATGTGGAATGCCGCAGCTCGCGACGTTGGAGAAATGTGGTCGTGGTGTATTTTTTGTCTCGTTTCGGTTGTGGGATGTCGTTTTCCCTGATGTGGAAACCCGGAAAAGCTATCT